CAAATGACTTTGACCGGATCAAGGGTTGTCTTTACACCTTACTCTTTGGTAGCCTTACAAAGACAATTTCGAAGGATTGGCGATTTGCACCAGAGTTGATCGATCTCTATATCAAATCTGGATCTGTGGATAAGCCCTCCATTCAAAAGGTAGGTAATACTGCCATGTACGGAGGATTAATGGAATTCGGCAGGAGGATGGAGACTCTTGTTATCCTCGACCAAGGTCTCATTCAAGAAATAGAACCAAAGGAAGACTGTCACTCAATCATCCATACTAGGAATGACTTCATCATGGGGCGACGTGTTAGTGTGGAAGAGAAGAAGTGGAACTTAGCAGCAGAGCTTACTGAATTTGCCAAAACAGCACATTGGAAACTTGCCGCACGATGCACTTTGTTCATCAATAATTTGGGTCTCCGAATCCAAACACTTGCGCCGCCTTCTATGATTGAGCTTGCTACACTAGGCGCCGTAACTGATCATCCTGGACTTCGAGCTGCCCACTCTGAATTCATGACACGCATCCTGAATCATATTGAAACTCGTGCTATCTATGGCCACAGCTTCGAAAAGTACATCCGTGAGGAGGAGTTTCAGCCCAACAAGCTCGAAATTCCTGTTGATAGCAAGGATCCTATGTGGACGAAGAAATTTTTGGACTCGTTCGCAGAACCTGGACAACCAGAATATTATCTGGACCGTGACTGGCCAGGGTGGCTTGTGTGGGGCAAGAGTTTTACAGCTATGCGAGCGGACCCTATCGAATTCACGGACTTTGATGAACTGGAAACTTCTGCACGAAAGCAAATTGGATCTCTCCTGACTCTGGATTGGTACCAAAAGTTCTTCATGTACATGAAGCAAGAACCAAGAGACTCGTCTGCAGATCGGTTCCGAGTGCAAAATACAACCTTGCTCGTTCAAACATTCGAGTTGATGCATTCCGGACTTACATCAGCTACTTTTGATGGGATCAAAGAAGAGGTCAAAAAGGTTTTTGAAGATGGTAGTGACAAACATCAGCATCGTGCAACGGCCGAAATCATGGCTGGTCTTATGCTTTCTACATACGACTTTCCTAGTGCAAAGCGTGATGAGGTTTGGGGATTCTGCTTGCCCATCATGTTGAATGTCTTCTCCGAAGGATTGACTCCAGAAAACCTGACGTATTGGCTCACGGGTCTTCACATGGTTATTGGCGGAAGAGATCCTAGGTCTTCAAGAGAACTCTTTGACTTCCTCGTTTCGTTCCGCTTAGATATGACTTCTAACGCAGCTTTCAAAGATAGTTCCAAGATTCAACTTTTAGATGTTGCTATCTCTGATGCTGGATGGCATTTCCGCAACGACGAGCCGATTCTACGAGATTTTCTTGACCACATCGACCACCCATACAAAGCTGTGAGAGAAGCAATCGGCCGTGCAACTGCTACTATTTATCGTATGAGATACTTTGAGGCTTTCAAAGATGTAGATACCCTTCTCGAGGCGAACAAGGCGGTTTCTTCAATTGGTATCAAGCCTTACATACCTACAGAAGATTTCTCTTCAACCATTAGAGAAGTCTTTAGGCGACTAGAAGTATGGCGTGGTCAACGAGCTCCAGGCGAGCAAACACCAACTTCGTATACTAATGGTAGCAAGACAGTATTGTTATGGCTTGATTCCACTTTACAATCTCATGAATGTACCCAACTCATTGGTTTCTTTCCAAATGTGTTCATGGAACAATTGTTACACATGATGGATGTCAAAGAAGACCCAGAACTTCAACGTCTCGCCTACCACGTCTATCGCCATCTCCCAAATATTCCCTTCCGTGCTGGTGAAGACGGCGAGTTTATCTCGGCTCTCATTCGTATCGGCAAGGTATCCGCGTCATGGCATCAACGCTTACGAACCTTAATTAACATGCAAGTGATCTATTTCCGTCGCATCTTTCTCATCCGTCCAGCCGAACAGCAAGCTCTTTTCTCTGCCGTGGCCGAAATGCTTGAAGATCCACAACTTGAAGTCCGTCTCGGCGCATCTACTACCCTTGCTGGCATGATTCGATGCTCACCCATCATCCTTCGTGAGAATATCCTCTCATCCCTACGCATCAAATTCACACAAGCCCTTAAGAAGAACCCTATGCCCAAGAAAGTACAGGGAGTGAGCACACCAATAAATTCAAATGCTCAAATAATCAGAAGACACGCTGCTGTTCTTGGATTAGGCGCCTTGGTCAATGCATTCCCATATGCAACACCACCACCAGAATGGATGCCGGAAGTCTTGGCTACATTAGCAAGTAGGGCTGCAAATGATGCTGGCGCAATTGGTAAAACTGTCAAGAGTGTCTTGGCTGATTTCAAAAAAACACGTCAAGATACTTGGGTTACGGATCAAAAGGTATGTTTTTATCACATTCTTATCCTCTAAATACATGTATTCCCGTTAAGAAGGAGCATTCAACTAATCATTGACAATAGTATTTCACACCCGAGCAACTAGAAGACTTAGAAGGCGTACTGTGGAAATCTTATTTCGCATAAGACGCACGCAATGGTGGCAACACGATATTAGGGTTAGAGTTTATTATGATAGCTAGGATTTTTCAGAGAGCATGGGCGATGATAGCATGGGATTTCTTTACTCGATTGCATTACTAGTATACCCCTTGAGGCATTTTTTTCAATCTGAGCTGGGATAGGAACAAGAAGGTTCACATGGTATGATTTGACTTCCCCGGTGATCTTAGCCAAGACTAGGATTCAAATTAGGATGTTGAAATATTAAAAAGTGAAGGGTGGGAATGAGATATTGGTGGGCGAGAAAGGGTACAATGAATAACAAGGGATAGATAGAATCAGTAAATAGAAGTTATTGATCTTAATTGGTAATTCTGTGCATTTGTTGGTAAGATCTTACTTTGAAGTTAAGTGTTAAATATTGTTTAGATAATTAATAGTAGGTAGTATAAATAATATATCATAATATAGATTTAAATAATATATGAGTGGGTCTGTACAGTTTATTTTAATAGGAATACTCGTACTGAGTTTTTTTTTTTGAATTATTGTTTCTTTTATATTTATATTTATATTTATATTTATATTTATATTTATATTTATATTTATATTTATATTTATATTTATATTTATATTTATATTTATATTTATATTTATATTTATATTTATATTTATATTTGTTACGAGGTTTGCCGTCTAGATCACGTGGAAGTGCTCTAGGCTCTCGAGGTGGTTTATAACTAGGCGTCAAGCAGGGACTTAAAGTAATGACAATAATGCAATTCGTAACTAATGGTAGAGTATACTAAATGATTGATCTTGAGCACGAAGCTCTATACAAAGGAAATCCATCTTGGTTATATAGACCTTCATGCTAATCGTCCCCTTGGTCCCCTCGGTCCCTTCGATCAAGAGACCGAGGGGATCTAAGGGACCATGTGATTACATAATTGGTCACATGATACGAGATCCGAAGTCGTCGTAACAGTATTTATATTTATATTTATATTTATACAAACTTAAATTTAATATAGATCTAGTCCAAAAATAATTTACTTCTCTAAAATAAAATAAAAAATAAAAATAACAAAAAGAGAAAATATTCGAAATTTATAAAATTATTTAATAAACTTTATAAATTGATTTAAAATCTATTATTAATTGTAAATTCAATCTCTCAATTTATAATTATACACATATATTCCCACCTTATCTCACCTCATCTCTCCTCTCCTCTCCCTCAGTCTATCCCATAGCCCATCTCCCATCAATTAATTTAAATAATAAATAATTTAAACAAATACAAATACAAATAAATCTCATCCTACCTCCCTCTCTCATCTCTCCCTTACCTTGCCATCCCTTACCAAAATCCCCAAATCCCAATCTCCCCAAATCCCTCGGCTCAACAAACCCTCCCTCACCAGCACAAAACTTCATTCACCTGAAACACAGCACGTTTACAAAATCCCTTCGGCACCAAACTTCTACAAAAGTTGAAACAATTTTGTGTGGGGGAAAATTGCAGTACTCTCGCATTCTCGTGTCTTTTTTTTTTTCCCTTAGTAGCTACGTACCTATTTACAGTAGATGTAATCCGAAGGTTGGCGGAGTACTATACGTATGTAGTAAGCTTTGCTACAGTGAACCACCCAATTATTACTATATATATATGTGTGTGTGTACCCCTCTGCCTCCAAGGTCGCCGACATACTCTTTTCTCCATCCTTTTCCTTTCCTTTCCATTCCTTCCTTTGTCCCCGTCACCCCAGTCCCAACCAAGCATTTTAGCTATCAACTATGATGATTGCAGCATCCAATATAAAGAAGTCCGCCGCCGTTGCAACTGATGCATCCTTCTCCGAAATCCCGCCCAACCATCCATCCTATTATACAATTTCCATCCACCCAATATTCTTCCTAATGCTAATCCTGCCCCGCCCTGTCAAATGTCCAAATGACCCATACCTATTCCCAATAATCCATACTGGCCCCATAAACGAGTACCAAAAACACCCTAGGCATACCAGCCAGATCAAATGATTTTCGCGAACCTGCGATAAATGAAGATTTATGAAATGATGATGAAGGAATAGTAATCGACAGAAAGGAAATATGGAGTTGAGAAATTTCAAATGAATATATGCAAAATCCATGCATGCCTCCCACCTAGCGCCACCTCGAAGCTACCCGGTTTTTTGATACCCAAGCCCTGCTAAAATGCAACCAGCCCGGAAAGAGAAAATAACACAAAAAAAACGTTTCAAGATGTATACAACCAGCCATTCCCTAGGAGACAAAAGAAATGAAAAGCGAAATAGGTCATTTTGATCACAGACAAAAGAAAACAGAATGTGGTTATGTGCAATGAAATGAATCAGAAAAAGATAAACTGGGTATATGTGACGGATTCGACAACCATGTTACATGACGAAGTTCAGCTTGCGCGCAATTCCCGCTCAGCAATTGTGAAATTTTGGCGACCTTATTGATAATACCCGGGTTGCGATGTGGTCACAACATGTGCGGAGGGTCGGCCTTCGTACGGATCCCTAACTGGAGTGCCAAATGCATTCTGGTCTGGAAATTGTCCTATCCCAAGTCCATGTCCAGGCAGCGTCTCATACGACGTATCTCTCCTATAACCAGAAAAACTAGGGGCCGCAGGATATCTTCCATTGTTCGACGGCGGTAGCATACCAGAGAGGCTGCCGTGTGAAATATGTGTTCTTGGTGGATATCCCATATTCTGGTAATTGGCTGCCTGTCTGTGACTCATGGGATTAGGCTCTGACAATATAGGGACTGTCGAGTGCATAGAACCATGAGATTGTGGATGATAGTATGTGGGAGATGGTCGCTGGTTACTCATCTCGAATTGTAAAGATCTGGGCTGCGGCGAGTCACTGAGGTGGGTATTGGAGAGTTGATTCGAAAAGAACTGATCTCGAACCGGTGTAGTCATCTCTTGGGGAGAATGTGCGTAATTTGACGAATTATAATCATTATAGCTCTGCAAAGGGTGCTGGCTTGGAATTTGATGGCCAGCAAAGGCAGGGTGTTGGTGCTGTTGCTGTGCATTGGCGTATCCTCTTTGCCATTGAAGTGATTCGGCGGATGTCGGTTGATTAAAGTTTGGACTTTGCGATTGGCTTGAAAGGGTATCGGTCCTAACTCGTTTTAATCGGCGCTCCTCCGGCGATGAGGATTCTTGGGAATAGCCTGAGTATCTATTCTGCATGTGTGCACTCTGATTGAGGACTTGTTGTTGTTCGCTGTATTTGCTCGCCTCGGGAGAATCTGGCTCTTCTTCTGGCTCCTGAATACGAGCGCGATACTTCTTGGGCTCATAGTCATCAAAGGCAGGACCACGCTTTCTGAGCAACGACCGAGGCTCCTTACGAACCCTCAACTTGAGGCCCTGTTCCTGGAATTTTTTTGTCATAGTGGTCGACTCCATCATTCCGGGAAAGGCTTTCGACGAATATACAGTAAATTGATCGGACGAAATCGATCCCAACCAAACAACTTCGTCTTCGTGGCTTTCGTAAAGGTTGAACTCCAATACGAAGATACCTTCGATCTTGGCGGATAAATCTCCAAATACGAAATATGCGCCCCAGTCGTCGGTCTCGGGATCTTTGAGGCGATGACAAGATGACACAGTAGTGCCTGCCAGTAAAGCTCCATGAGACGTCCCAGCTTGCATATCTGTGACCGGCATAAGAGTACCTTTCATAAAGAAATGTGGGTCTACAAGCGTTAGTAAACGAAAAGAACCGCAAAGACTGACTTCTTACTTATAATGTAGCGTTCATTCGGGTCGACAGCGTGTGAAATTATAAGCTGAACAACAGGCGGGGGGTCAACTGCTCGACGATCTGCCATAGATTAGATTTATGCCATTCGAGGTGATTGTAAGATCAGTTTACCTTTCTCTTTGCCCACATTAACTCTCGCATAGCGAGGCTGTTGCCTTATAATGAGCTTGCAGTCTTGGCTTCATTACGAAATATTAATTAACGTTCAGAGAAGGAGAAAATTGAAAAGGATGGCAGGATTTTCGGAGGACATACCTTTGTAGCCCTGGAATTTGGAGAGATTGCGCCTGCGCGAAGTCGTGCGATGGCTGGGAATTCATGCTGATGATTATAAATTATTATATCTATATTCGATGTCTTCCTATCTCTCGATTTGCTCGTTCTCCCTCGTGCTGTGCTTGCGACACAATGATTCGAATCGATAGTTCGAGTATTGTGACACTAAGAAAACAACCATAGATGAACTTTGGAATAAAGTAGGTAGATGAGACGTTCTTCTATATCTGTGGTCTCGTTCTTTTGGTTGAGTTGTGCTTGTGGTGGAGGTAGGTTTGGCCGGAGTTCGCGAGTCCGAGTTCGAGGTCAAGATCGAATCTGACTTTAATAGCTAATATAAGGAGCAGTAACTGACAAGAAGTCTGATAATGATAGATTAGAACAGATGAGTCCTTTGCTGCTATTGTTTTCTAATGTCTTGTGGTTGCGAAGGAAGGAAGTGTGATTGATCTTGAAGAGTCTGTGGAAGGAATTAAGTAGAGTCAACAACCAGAAAGTCCTGGTAGAGATGAGAGGTCAGAAAGCATAAGTTCTAGAATCTTGACAATGTTCAAAACGAATTACAGCCCTAGTAGGAGTCACAGGGCTGAGAACCTTTAAAGGAGCTTAGGTCCCATAGAATACTGCCGTCTAGTGCGTCGTCTCAGAGTCTCGGGCTTTTCAGTTTTGTGATGTACACCGGAAAAACGAACTCTCTGTCGAGATGATGGGCGCAAATGAACGTTGATGAAAGATAAGAGAGGACGTCTCCTACGTTTCAAGAGACAGTGGAATTCCGAGGTCGATATACTGATAATCCGGCAATGGCCTTGATATCGAGGATATTCTTGAAATAACAAATGCGAAACACAAATGAATAGAGTTCTCCAATGTGACGAGGATGATGATAGTGAAAATCTTGGCGACGATGCCGTGGATGCAGAGTTATCCAAGCTGTTTGATTCTTCGATTCAGACAAACCGGTAGGTACATAAGGTAGTGATTCAACGGTCGTGTATTGAAGGGACGAAGACTGACAATATGCGACTGGTGTGAAAGACCGGGTGAGCAGAGCTTGAGCAATTCTGATTGGTGCTTTGCGAGCAGCGATGCTCGGTACTCGACCGGGGCAAAAGGACGGCGCGGATAAGAAACGCAGGGACGAGAGGTTTTCCTTTCTAATGCTCTCTGGCCAACCAAAGTGATCGAGTGATTGAATTGAGTGACGCCTTGAAGTTCTCTTCCAAGTAAGTACTATACCTTACTGTGTGTGTGTGTGTGGGTGTGTGTGTATGTGTAGATTGAGGTGATGCAAAGAACTTATATGAGCTTGTGATGCAAAAGATACATCAAAGTGCTCGTCGTCGAGTAAGCCAAAAATGTACTGATGTATTATGTTGCATCTAATTTGTTTGTACAGGAACAAACGAAATGCAAAGAGATGAACTCTAGTTGGAATTGCAATTTATCTTTTGTATGTACGGTACGAGGATACTTGTTCGAGAAAGAAGTCCGTGTGATGGTGCTGTTGATAGATGCAAAAAGAACCGATGAGGCAGTTGCGGACGAGGACAGAATCGTGGGTCCACGTTGGAGAGCTCTCGACAATCTCTATGGCTTCTTTCCACCCAAACGGTAAATTTCTGGTACACTTCCGGAATGGAGAATGAACAGGAAGGGTGTCAATTAATGCCGAGTTCAAGCGTCAAGTATCGTTGTGGGTTTCAAGATTACCTATGGGCTAAAGATTGGTCGTTATTGGTCCGAATGATGGAAAATTTGATGTTAAAGATAGAGATAGGTATGTGGCTAAGTAGACGACCCAGCAAAGAAGGAGAATAAAAGATGGGATGAGACGAATTAGCTTGTGAGAATTTGGTGTAGGTGGTTAAGTGGAAGATTTGGAGACGAGATATGCGTTTATGTCGCCCGTTGCCGAACTAGAGCTTTAATTCGATGAGGCACTTGAATTTCCTCGCCTCGTTCATCTCGTTGATCGATAGCCAGTTAAGATGACCAGGCCCCAGGTCTCTCTAGAATCTCAGTAGAATATTTTTGTGAGATTGACATTGGACAAGCGCTTCGGGCCTGTCATTCTTTTCCGCACCCATGCTAACACCACGAACCCCCCCTCCCCCCTCCTCGAGATAGTAGATACTTTGAGATGAGTGATCGAAGGAGGCACCCACCCCCTGCACATTACTTCACTCTGATTGAGAGTGCGAGTCATACAGATCGTCTCACCCCTAGACGGACGCGGACGATTCCAAGATGCTTCGTTTGTGAATTGACAGATTGTGTGGGTATTGTACATATATCGTTTATTCTTCCTTGTTGATAGAGTAAAAATGCTAGGGGCCGCACAGTCCACATTATGGAGTAGATAGATTGATAGATTTGATATATTGATAGATATGATTGACACACTATATAACTAATCCAGATCTAATATCCTATCCTTCCCCTCGAGAGACCCATCCTCTGCTGCTTATTATAAAATCTAAATCTTGGGAATTGCCCGTAGCTACCTACCATGGGTGCATTCTGCAATGCCTATATAGACACATATATAGGTGTATATATATCTCGACCTTTCGATTCTATGATGAAGCCAATTTCCACGTCTACCAGGGAGAACGAGATGGGAAAGGAATGATTATCGTAAGACTGCATTTGAGGTAAAGATTCACCTCCAGCGAGAGATGTACCACATATGCTCCTGATACATTCATTCATTCTCTCGAGATCAACTAGCAATATTACTTTAAACAGGATATAAATACACCGACTGCAGTAAAAAAAAGGGTAGGAATTAATTACATTGGAATCACAAAGCGGTACTTTGACACAATTCTATAATTCTATATGGAACCTACCCATGGTCATTCACTCCGTCAATCCATGTAAGATCTTAATTTGATGCACCATGCACAGCGTTTATTGAGGCAGTCGGCAGGCAAGATGAAGACCCAAGATGAAGGGAATATCGGATATGAAATCATATGATAGGCGCGATAAAGAATTAAAATGAGATGTTGCTTTACCTTGACCTGCCGGCCGTGTCTAATTGATATTGACGGGGAAATGACACCCAAGTAGGGTTGGTCTAGAACAGAATATCTATGTGCACTTGAGTCTATTTGTCTATTTGTCTGTTATCCATAATTCACGAGAGACCAATTCCTCTTACGAGCTGCCTTTTGCGTCTGTCTACCTTGCTGTGCTTGCTGTCCTGCGGCTAGTGTCTTCACAGTTGGCCTTGCAGTGTTTTTGGAATAAAGCAGGAAAATAATTGTATTCACATAGCAGTATTCCGCAGAGTACATAGGTTCAGCAAAAGTAGTAAGGATTATTAGTAAGAGTAGCAAGAATCCATACGCACGGAATTTATCCGTTCTGTGCCATAAGTAAGGGAAGGTACATGCAAATAAATTAATGCAGGGATTTTTGAGGAGACCATCCATACTAATGCATCAGTAAGCTCGTGGCTTTCCCATACATATACCATGTCATACAGCCCACAAGGAAAATCACGAAATTAATTTTGGTACAAGATTTACAATATACACAGGTTCAAATTTCTATATAATAAATTATATATTATACTACAAAAGTAAGATTACTGTGTTATATTTTATTTTATTATATAGTATACTCTATATTTATATGTATTTTTAATTTTAATTCACATATCTAATTAATAACTCACAGCAGATTTGTTCAGCAGATTTGTTACAAAATTGTTTGACGACCCAACAAGTCGCGTCACGAAGATCACGATATGCAGGAAAATTCGAAATCATCATATTAAAGCACGGTAGGATCCGGATGGGCGCGGAAACGGGTAATCTGGCCGTTGTTACGGTTGTATTGGTGATCATTGAGTCTTGAGTCTTGAGTCCTATAAGTCTTGACTGATATGCGAACCTCAAGAAATGGATCTTGACCAAGTTGAACTTGACATTTGGTTTTCAAAGGCTAGAACCTGTCACAATTGGAAATTGGCATGATGGCGAGACGTATCATATGATGAGGATGGGATTTTCACATGTCCCTCATAGGTCAAATGGTAAAATTATAACCGCTCCAGGGTATGGGAGGTCATTTATGCAACGGTGTGGTCCTCCTACCTCATTTCGTAGAGCTTGAAATAGCAGGGTACGGGGGATCTCTATGTCACTATATGTCACTACATGTCACTACAGAGCTTAAGAACATGGGCATGATGAGCTAGATCAGATCCGAAGCAATATCAAGCCCGAGTCTAAAAAACGAAAAGAAGTAAAAGAAATAGAAGAAATAATAAAAAATGGAGTAAAAATAACAAAATAGAAAATTAAAAAGACTAGAAAAAGACTAAAAAGAATAAAACGGGATAGTCAAATGAGTACGGGGTATGTAATATATGGTAGACCTCCGGAGAAGAGAGACTTTCAGAATCTTAATTGCCCAACAATGCCCGAGAAGAAAACAACTTGGAAAACCCAAGGCTCGATGCGATGAAGAATGAATTCCATGGGGTTTAGTTCTGTACGGGTATGTTCTAAACCCATCTGATAGCACTCCCACGACTTGGCGAAATGTCGAGAATTACAATGGTCTATTTCTAACCATCTTCTACTCCGTATGCACATCAAAAGATGTTTAATAAGCCATATTGAATTGAATCAAGGTCAGTATCTATCACAAATCACATATAAGTACATTTCCCAATACGGCTACCTATGTCCACAAATGTATTTCCCACGGATGGTTCTTTTCCGGTTCTTTCCAACTCATGCACGACTCTGATCTCTGATCTCTGCAGTCCAAATCTTCCAATCTCCCCTATCAATTTCTTGATTCGGGCTCATCACTTTCGGTCGAAGATTCTATTTTGGAAATTCCCGGTACCGATCGGAAAGCGGCACTTGATTTCAAATTAACCTCTGGGAGGCGAATGCTCCTCATTTACAGGGTATGGTGGAAGGCTAGAAGAGGAGCCCCAACATCCTACAGGGTTCAAGCCTTGATAAATCCCTATCAGACTCCGGGTCCTCTGGCTGAATCTCGTTTGACACTGAGTGAGTTACCCGTCTACACATTGGTATTGGATGCTGGACATTAGATATTGAATATTGGATACTGGAGACTGGATATTAGACATTGGATGGACACTGATGGACACTCGAAGGATAATGGGCATTGGACATTGGACATTGGACATTCGACGCTGAATATAGAAAATGGAATGTGGAATATGGAACCATTATCGATATTCGTTTTCCGTTGCACAGATCACCCCTGGGTCGAATTCTACAGCTGCAACTCAAATGCACAAATAGGTCAGTCTTTGCAGTACGGTTCATGCAGAGCAGGACCATCATCATGCACACCACGGGCCACACAGCATAAAAAGTCTTGAGTTTGCTTTTTCCAATTACTCATTGTTTGTCATTATTATGCTTCTCCACACCAAATTTAGGCGTCCGCTCTGTGATTAGGCGGACAAATTGGAAGATAAATGATGCTTTCCGCCTCCTCTTCGGACCTTCGAGGTAAAAACATGGCAATTTTAACTTCCTCAGAATGCGAGATCTCGACTTTTTCCTGCCGGCGATCTTCCCTGCATATCAGGTTACACAGAGTAATCAGCTCTTACGATAGCAGTCTGGGGCATATTACCATAGGGCCAATTATATCTTTGCCTTGACAATCATTTCCTCTCACAATTAAATGCATTTGTCAACTTTGGCTCTACGGAGTAATGAGTTGAGTCGAGCCTCGGTTCAGACCTGATCCTGAGTGTATCCTTGTGGTTGAACGACTGATTTGAAATCCCTGGTGCAGTGTGGACTTAAGTAAGAACGCGCGGTGTCATCTAATATGAGGTGTCACTTAGGTACACGATTCAGGGACGAAACTCACGCTGGATATCCTACAACCATCATTTCAAACGTTCGTTGCTTCTTCAAATGTCTACTCCGGCAGCGTGACGAAATGCCGCGGATTCTGAGTTGCCCAGAACTTCAAATTGCTATAGCTACCCAAACTATCTATTCATACTACCTACAGAGCATTTATCAAACAATTCACCGATGATCTTGGATTCTAGCTTATAATTCTACCGCCAACCATTCGACCGCCGACGTCCATATGTTGCCGCCCAATGGCCAGTGCCACGACTCTAGAAATCGAAGGTTCTAACGAGGAGAAGAGACAAACCGATGGTAGGTGCGTAGTACGTACTCATGGTGCGCCAAGACAACGGTAAATCGAAATTGGATTTTGGTAATGGGAATCAAGAAATGCAAAGCCCTGCAAGGTATATGCCGGTACTCAAAAGCTGCCGCGGTGAAACACATTGACATACATCCATCCACAATAGAATTTTATGAAGGTTCTTCTAAATTCTAACAACGGGGAAGAGTTCGAGCCTGCGCCAACTACCCACTCCACTACAAATTATGGTTTGACAGCTCCCTTAAACGCAGTTTCTGGTCTCTGTTTAACCTGCAAGTAGTGAGGTAGTCACAGTTCCATCAACCTTTCCCGAGACAATTTGCGCAGACCACGCCTTTTAGAAGCGAAGATTTACAGAACGAATCATGGTATCGGTATTCCAAAAGATTGTACATCCGAATTTGAGTCCAAATAGATGACTTGGGTAACCTCAATATACTATAGAAGACCACAGGAAGCCAAAGGGTGAATCAACAGGAAGGCTCAATCGGGAACGAGTCGTCTTCCTGTCTCGGATTATGTCCGAAGCGAACCAGAAATAACTCAAGGCTATGGAAAGTCTAACACATTGACAAATCACATTGCTTGCAAGTCATCCCGAAATGAGTACAAAATTCACAATGATTATTACCGTGCTGATTAAATGTCTGTCGGGGTATTGAGCCTCAAAGCATTCATTCATGTCTGAAAGGCAGAGCGCTCCATCATACGGGCTCTGAGAATAGGACCGGATGGACTAGCGATCCAAAGATGAAGTAGTCATCATCTTAACCTCAAATTTAATTGACCTCGAGCCCCAGACTTTGACAGGGACAAGGATTTTTCAATTGAAATTCCCTTCTACGTCAATCATTGGCTGATGTCATTTCGTAATTTCATTACTCCTCTGCTGGTGAGATTATGGTAGGGAGAGGGAACAGCTCGAGGGTTTCGCTTAGAGCTCTCCATCGTCCTGGGTATCTATCAAAGTGTACGGGAGTATACATCACAGCAAACCAAATTGACGCCGAGCACTCTGCATAGATATCAAAAAGTCCTTGCAGCTGTCGAAACTCTAGATCGCTAGGGGATCGTCCATCAGGATTCAGAACTCGGATAAGTGTCAAGGGTACTTGCCGGAGGCCGCAGTTTGCACGGTCCAACCGTTGAGAATCCTTGCCATGTTCATCAGGGGCCAACGCCCCCTCGACCGTGTCTCATTTTTCGAATTGTCAAGGAGAAACTTGTTCCCGAGCGTCTGGCTTTCTGTAGCCCGTTCGAACTCCGGCCCAGCTTTTCCTTTCTCCCATTAATAATTAGGTAATTTCTAATTATGAAACCCCTATAACAGCATGAATTGTGTAATCTTACAACTTTTACCAAGGCCTACCAATACCTCCAAACTAGAGTCAGTCGAATTGGAACATCGAACATCGAATGTCGAACTTTGGACTTCGAACTTCGAATATCGAACTTATTTAGTTGGTAGGCAGATTAGAAAGCTAGGGCTCAAACGCTAAATGCATTGTCTTCCGGCGCACCGTTGAAGTTCTCGGAGAATTAATGTCCGAACTCATGGAAGCTGGAAGCAAGCATTGATTGTGTCACGACCCTATTGATATCAAGAGGTGGCGCAGCAGGTACTACGACCAGTTCTGGCGTCTACCAAGACGATCGTATACTTTTCTCAACGCGGCTTCGAGTGTCTTTACGGTACCTACATAACGATTTTTCGCCTAAATTATCGAAAATGACCGTGATAAATGGCATCACAGATTCGAATGATATAGACAATATTGCCCACATCATTCTTCAATTTCGACAAGTAGATGTTCCAATACAGGAAAATAGTCTGTAAGCGCAAAGTGGACTTACTTTCACATGTCTTCAACAAGAATTTTATATAAGTCCGATTCACCTGAAATACTTCCGGTCCACATCTGACACACTTTGGGCAAGACTTCGAAGAAATTCGTGCAAGGATTTATATGAATGTATCATTCAATTCGACCCAATAAGTACAAGCGACGCCACACCATACCAAAAAATTTTGATGTTTCGTTAGTGCGCATACTGTGGCAGTCATCTGATTTTATTATTGGAGCGACTGAGGAAAAATATGCCAAGTCTAGGGCCTCAACAGAAGACGGGTTTGATTAGATGCTCATTGGGAAAGGCTACAAACACAAGGATCTCATACGATTCTCGCCGCAAGTATTTTCAAAATTCAGAATCAAGTGCCATGCAGCGTGCAATCAGCAGAAATGGGAAATGCTATTATCGCGTTGCGTTGCTCATGCCAGCTTCCCATTTCTACAGGTAAAGGCCTGTAAGGTCCGCAAAACAGTTCTTTGTGCAACGACTTTGGCAACAACCTTGCTCCTAAGGATGCTGAGGCAATGCCATTTCAAGGTCTGACACTTGTAATGTCAGTTCTTTGTGACACCTAATCCATATTCAGTAATCACGGTCATTCTTTTGGTCAATCTTATCGCCATAAATAGATTCCATAGACCATATTTCTCCCGGTAACGAACGAGCGTCAGCCCCGAAGAGGCGACGGCTTATCCGAACCTCCTCAGTGTCTCATGAGAATATTTCAAGGCAATCATAAAGAACTACGGGCTAAAAGCTCATGTTGAAATGGTGAAGCAAGGCTTCGTGATAGCGTTTGCAGCCGCAACCTATACTTCCCAACAAATATTCAATGCAATGCTTCCTTACTTTGTGTAACCTGGAAGTTCATACACTATTTGCATAGTTGCAGATTCTGCAGACAAATTTTCAATATCTATATCTGAGAGCCATAGTGCCTGACTTCCGGTCATACCCGTATAGTTAGAGCCACATGATATACTCGAGGGCTCATGATGCTTCTGAAATTGGCTTCCGATTACTCCTTTGAGGGCCCAATATAGATTTCCCTCGACCTCTTTGGTGCTTAGTTCGATTGAGCATCTGCTCCTGATCAATATCTCAAAGTATATCATGCTAGATAATGCATCTATCTCTGTATATAGTTATTGAGAGCATTTTTGTGTTGCTATTTGATCTTAGGAGGACCATTCGTGGCCTCGTTTTTCAATAAAACTTTCCTTGAAATGTATGAATTGCTATCATCTTGCCGAGATGCGTCAAGCAAAGCTGCGATATTTTGAGAAGTGTTGACAACAACAAGGCAAGCATGCTCACCTCGCATATACCATTACATTGATAATTCATGCATCCTGACACAATAAATCACATATTGGCCAAGTATACTGAAGAATATCGAGTTTGATATCGTGCGATGTACATTGCACAATGCCATATCTCCAGAGCAGTGGTCAGCATCTAAAGAAGCGCTGCATCTCATCAACTATACAGGTGACATGATCTGCATGCAATAAAACATTCCCATGAGATTATTTCCATCATCCTGCCGAGTTCTAGGAAATCAACATCGTCAGCATCGAAGTACATAATGACTCATATGCATCGCAGGAGCTAGTGTATTTGCTGCTGCTGCTGTAATTTCTCTTGCACGCATGCTTTGAAAAGGTGTCTATCAATAACTGGCTAATACCTCGTTCAATACGTACTTCCTCACCAAACGGGTTTCTCCATGATACCTCTTCACACAATTTCTTCAGCCCACTCCAGCTAATGTGTTATCCATGACGTTTAAATGTCTTGACGAGTCGGCTCGTGCCGAAATATCGTATGATATCTCTTACCAATATTTCGCATGTTTCAATCTCAAAATTGAGAGCCAAGTGGCAGCCGGTACAAGCTGAATATCTACCCGAGCTAGATTACATGGTTGGAAGTATATATGCAAATGCAAGAGCAGGAATTTCGTGCATTCTTCCTTGAGACTCGTGCAACTGCTTGATTTACTCACTTACTTTTCTATGGAGATGATGTTGTCTCAAGAGTCTTGATATATATATAGATTTTACCCCAACGTCTACCGATGATGATCCCTTCTAGTATCGAAATTAAGATCTGCGCTATCAAACTCTAAAGAAGAAAGAAAGAAGAAGAAAGAAAAAACTTAAAAATATCAAAAGCCGAGGATTAAGTCGAAGTCTAATTCTTACATGCACAAATTGTAGCTTTATTGTACGTTGTTCTGTAACATAAAAAAAATACCACCTATAGCTCCCCACGTCCATGCCAAAAACAGGAATGGGAATAAGAATAAGAATAGGAACGAGAATAAGAATAAGAATAAGAATCCCATGACCCAAATGCGGAAAGTGACGTCTTACACGTCACTGCTGCGTCGATTTCTCATGTCTAATTCGGGTGAATCTATGCTTTCTTGCTAGCTAGCTATAGCCATGGATTCGGGATTTCTTTTTTTTTTTTTGCCCCTCTTCTCTGAATCCATCTTTTCAAAATAGATTTTTATTATTATTTTTATTATTATCGTACGATGTTGCACTTGCTTGCCCTTGTACTTGCTTGCACTTGGACTTGGAGTTTTGGACTTGGACTTGGAGGTGAATCCCGAATCTCCGAGGAATGTTCTCAAAAAGTTGAGATTGGGTTTGGTTTGGTTTGGTTTTTTACACTTGGAATGATTGCTTGTGAATCATAGTTTGTGAATCATAGTTTGGGATTCATAATCTGGAAATAATACCTCTCAATCAAAACTATGAATCATGACTATGAATCATAACTACCTATGAATCATGACTAATTATGAGAGGTACGGAATCCCGGATCAGAGCCGAATCTTCAACAAACCATCAGGTGTATGGAATCCTAGTTTGTTAGTTTGTCTTATGTATCTATATCCCACGAGCAAATACATATATTCTATACAATATGAAGATAAATACGGATATTCACAATCACCGCTTAGAATCACACGCAGAAGAAGAAAATAGATAGAGGGCAATATTTATAAACCCAAGACAAAGACACCCTTACCCCCTCTCCCCTACAGAAAAAAGAAAAGGAAGAGAAGAAGAAGAAAAAATAAAATAAAAAACAATCCTAGAAAGCAAAAATCCCACATCTAAAAGAAGATAAATCAAATCACATAGATTATGCACCGAGATAAGTTTACGAAACCCACTCCACAATCCAATTGCAAGCTTAACTTTGAGACTGAAACAGAGACAAAAGGATTCCCTTTCTCGCGGATGCTTCCAGAATACTTAGTTACTTACTCACTTACATACCTAGTAGGTATTAATCAATGAAGGTTTGTTTGTTTGTTGTCAACCCATGTTTCTGGGCTCGGTACCAGAAAATTCGTCTTGAAGGTTGATGGGTTGGGGTGGTCATTGCTTATTTATTTATTTATTGGTTGGGTGGGTTTGCGTAACGATGTTTTTTTGGGGGGGGCTTTTTTTTGGGATGTCTTTGTCTTGGATTTAGATTTGGTGGGTTTGGGTTTGGTTTTGTGGTTTTGTGGTTTTTTTTATTGGGGTGGATGGATGAGTGGGTGGATGCGTGGCCATGGATGGTCGGGTGGATGGAGATAACGGTGATGTGGGAGATTAATCTTAGGGCATAGGGCGTAAGGCTGGTAAGGGGAGTTTGGATCTCGAGATAGAAGGGAAGGAGAAGGAGAGAAGGAGAGAAGGAAAAGGAAGGTTTGGATTTTTGATAGGAGGTGTTGTGCGTGGGGGTTATATGTATGTAGTGTTTTTGGGTATGATATTATGAGAGTATGTATGTAGTATGTAATATATAATCATCTATTATAATTGTATTGATGAGAGAGAAATTCAAGGGGAATATTTTATTCTTTGTGTAACTCGTTGATTAAGGTTTTGTAGGAGAGGGGAGGGGACGTGAGGTTTTGTTACCTTATCCAGTGTTATGGTTCTGAAATGAATAGAATGGAATGGAATTGAGATAGAGAATTCTTGAGGAGAAGAGGACCGAGTGTTACATGGATATATGTACAAAAATACCTAAAAGATTCAGCTAGAAAAACGAAGTAGAGAATTTCAGAAGTAGGAGTTCATCAGAAGCTTCAGAGAAGATCCTGCCTGGTACTTACTTCTTTATAACTCAATACTCAATACTCAATACTCAATACTCAACCCAATACCTTCCTTGAAAGATGAAAGAAACTGATAGTACTACCACTGCATAGATACCCCAACAAGTATGGCTTGGAAGTCTCAGTATTGATATTCGTCGATATTTTGATCCGGTATCTTTTGGACTTGATTTGCGAGGTTAGGTCGATGTGAAGGTTATATATATCTATCTATCTATGTGTATGGTGATTTATACATCTATATCTAAATCTATCTACATATGATACTGATGATGAGACGATGATATGATATAATGGATATGATTAGAGATACGGGGTGTAAATAGGGATAATGTCTATCTACAGGAATGTGCAGAATGTTCAGATTGTTTAGAATGTGCAAAATAGAAAATGTATGTATGTTGTTATCCATCTAAAAGACCATTTGTTATGACTCCAGTATTATCAGCATTATCACAATCAGTTCGCCATACGTTTCCGGTTGTGCTTCCACTTCGCTGCTTCACTCACTCAGTCAATCATTCGCCACATATCCTCCTCACTACTTGCTCTTAGCTAACATCCAATATCCCCATCTCTTATTACAGGCAAAAGATACCCCAAACATAAAACTACACCTTCTAATTGCAGCTTTTCGATTTATAAACTCCACCTTGTTTTAGGCACAACGTCGACTTTAACATTTGAGTTTAAATGATGTGAGATCATGAGATATGAATACATCTACCTGCATATTCTCACCTAGAGGCTGATGATAACAAAGGGAGAAAAGGTGACAGATAGATTATAAGCAGTGCTGAGATGGAATAGAGGGGCAAGGTTAGATTAAGAGTGAGAGGTCTATGACATTTGAGATCGTTGACACTGGTTTATTTTCTTGATGGTACGATGCTAAGATACTCAAACTCAACTTCCCCCTCGAGAAGTACTCGAGATGTAAGGCTATGTTGAAGGGTATATATTGTGATAGGGTTTCTATTCGTTCCATCATTCCATTCTTTGTAATAGGTAACTTCTAGACCAGAAAGAAACTTCCTCTCACTCTTCCTGAGCTTTTTGCTTCCTTACCACTGCTCCCATTGCATCTCATTCCAATCTTAAATCTATCCCTGTAATCACCTTACAGCTTTTCAAAGCACCAGTTGGTTCCCCTTTTATCCTGAGACTTCATGACCCATTCATATTTTTCGAAAACAGAGCACATTTCCCACCTTAAATATTACCTATCAACTAGCAACCACACACACAGAGACGTACACTAATCAGAATAGATTATTGTAACATTGTAATAATCTTTATTTTAATATATATATTAATTATATTTCAAAAGATAGCACATTTGCCACTCCATCAATAGTTATCCTCAAACCCCTTAAAAACCTCTTTCCTCAAGCATCTATCCACAAACTTTTCAAACACTTCTTTCCTCAAGTTTCTCTACTCTTCTACTCGACCAAACTCCTCCACAAAGAAGGATCTGCCTAATCGACAAAAACCAAGGTTGATCTTAATATTGATATTAATTTTCATTATATGTAAAATTCTAATTATCACTCTCTCAACTTCCATTCATTAAAAATAAAGAAAGAAGCACTGTATAGACACAGAAGAAAAAGTAGAAATAATATGAATATGAATATCACCAAGAAAAAAAACTTCGATTTTGGGAGTTTGGGAGTTTGGGAGTTTGGGAGTTTGGGAGTTTGGGAGTTTGGGAAATATATACCTAATAGGTAAATTACTCTTCGGGGGAGTAAAACGATTGCACAAGGTCGAAACAAACCCAAGGCGTTCGATGAATATCCAGTCTCTTGACTGTGGAAGATTTGATCTCGTTGGGATGAAATGACATTGATGACGAGATTGCTTTCCACTATTTTTGCTAGAATCGGTAATGAGATGGTTTTTCACCAGCTTCGACCGGAATTGAGATAAGTTTTAACTTCACATACTAACTCTCTTCACCTTCCGCTTCCCCCTTCCCGTTCATCATTTGCCCCATCATCTTTCCTCCTCCTAACCCCGTACAATAGTACAACTATCGCATTCCTCCCTAGAAATCACTTGATCAAATAGTAAACAGGAAACAGTAGACAGTAAACAGTTAAAAACTAATAACTGAGAAGCTTTTGCATATTTGAATATACATATTCAACTTCAACACTAACCCTGCCTCTGAGCCGGGAGCCCCAAACATAAGTACTCCAAGATGAGTAAATGTATAAATATACAAACACACCATCACTCGATGACACCCACTACATTAACTCAACACCCACTCACCTCAAGTAAATAAAGCACATAAATTTCTCTCATAGCCTTCCAATCCCCTAGTCCCCCAACTCCCAATCTTCCAATCCCTCCTCCTCACCCCAAACGTCCCAAACCCAATCCATCACTCCCTCCAACTCAATCCAATCCAATGAAAAAGTACCAACCCTCTTATCCCTAATCTAACTCCTCACTCCTCACTCCTCACTCCTTACTTCTCATTTTTTACTCCTCACTCCAAATCCCAATCCCTCCCTCCCTCCCACACGCTCCAGAACACACAATACCACTCACCATACTTACACCATA